TATATATATATATATAGTGAATAAGATCAGTAGAAAAATGGCAACAACAACAAATGAAACAAGGCCTTGTAAAGCCAATGCCCTGTTTAATATTATTTACATGAAGCTACAACTCTCCCCTAACCCATTTAAGTTCACTTAGAAAAAAAATAAAAAAGAAAGAGTAATTAAATACAGAACACCTGAAACATTGATATTTATAAATCAAGCACCAAAGCGATTTTTTGAACTACCGGACCGATGTATTTATGCATGTCATGATCAAACTGCTAAGAATTTTATAAAAAGAAAAAAAAAATGTGCTTGATTTGTAAATACCAATAATTTGGGTGCTAAAATAATAAAAGCATAAGAAGCTTGGAGGCATGAGAAATATTAACAATAAAAGAGAAGCAGAGGAGGATTACCCATTCCCTCAAGCTTCAAAAACCATCTCAGTGGATACCATCCTATCAGCACCAACAAGAGTGAGCCTGTCATGGTAAACGTCCACATAACCAAAAGCATTAGAACCAGGCGGACACTCGACGGCGGCCTCAAGAACGCGGTGGTGAACACCGTGGGAATCGACCGCATACCCGCCCTTATGATCATGACCAGAAAGACAAGCCTTCACGCATCTGTACCGGTGTATCACATCGATAACCTCATCGTAGTTCCACAAAAGAGCCTCCGGCGCGGCGGCGGCCGGATCCAGCGGCAGATGGCAACATATAATAACCTTCTGATCGCGCTCGGTGGAATCCTTGAGGATGTTATCCAGCCACGAAAGCTGCTCGCTCCCAATGCCTCCATTAAACATCACGAACCTTCGATCGCGACCGGACAATCCTCCCGGGTTATTCTTGTCTTCATTTGGGTTCTTTGCATGCAGGATTCTGAGAGCTTGAGATGTTTTTGGATCATCGCGGGGCCAACCGATGGCGCTGATATCGTATGCGTCTAAGATGACGAATCTGTACTCTGGAGATGGGGAGAATTCATAGTGTGCGCTGCCATGGATGGAAGGGATGTTGAACAGTGCAGTGAGATTGGTGCGAGGGAGATTGTAGAGGCAGTGATTGCCAATCATGTGGAAGACGGGGCCACTGAATTTGCTGAATTCGTCGAGGATTCTCTTAACGGCGGCGAAGGATTGGTCCTTGGGACAGAATCCGTCAACAATGTCTCCGAAGTTTAAGGAGAAATTGAGCTTTGTGTGACTATTCCATTTGGTGATTGCCCTTTGGAGGACCTGAAGGCTGTGGCGGTAATGCCGAGGGACGCCGATGAAGGAGCGGCCATCGGGAATATCGGCGTACTGGACGTCGGTTATGACTCCAAAAGAGAATAAGGGTTGCTTCGCCTGTGTGCTTGATAAGGCCTTGCCAGGGGCCATCTGTGGAGTTTTCCCTATTAACTAGAAGAGAAGATTAGATAACTGTACGTGCAATGCATTCAAGTTTTAAAAAGTAAAATACATTTTTTTATGCATTGGTGAGGTGGTATGTACGTGAAAATTGAACTAGAAAAGATAAATAGAAACTTAGACAAAAATCAGATGCCGCAATTCTTCTAATAGATTTTACCCAATTCAGTAGAATTACCAAAGTTTGTATGGGTAGTTTCAACTTGAACTGGATCCTCCTGGAACAAGTTCTCCAGGTAAACTGAAAGAATAGCTTACATTTTGTACATAAAAAATGTATCAGCACGAATCTCAAATAAATCCAACGGCTAGCAGAGAAGGTGATGTGGGAGTCTTGGACCCCCCCGGCTCGCGCTGGCCGGGAGAAATATAACTCCACGACGGATGTAAATCAACTATCCTCTCAAAAGGGCACCGGGACAAACCTCGAACGGACAATTCGCCGGTATTCCTCGTCCAGGCCTAGCAGATGTTAGGAGCTGCTCGAATCTTATACAGACGGCTGACACCTCCCAGTCAACTCATCAGCCATAGCTGCCCGGATCATGACCCGGCTGGACGACATTTCAGACTATCGGCTTTACGACTTTGTATTGACCAAAATACCCCCTACAGTACCTACTTTAGCATTCTTATAAATAGGGGCCCATTTCATAAATAAAAGTTACACGATTTTATTGTTAATTAGTATGTTTTCTCTGTTCTTTTTCTCTCTTTCGCTCTCTATCTTTAGATGTGTCTCCCGAATAGATTTGGATTCAACACACTTAAAACCCTTAAATCAGAAAAAATGGTTTAAACGTTTGTCATCAAGTCAGCCACAAATACTATCTTAGGCAATAAATAAGAATAAGACTGAGGAATATAGAACTTAACATAATTGGCTTAATTTCAATCGAAGTTACCTTCTAAAAGCAAATCTCAAAGCCTTCATTCTCATCTCTCATTCTCACTTTACAATAACCACTTCTCGAACCAATTACCATCGACAACATAGTCATCCAATTGGGGACTAGAGAATTGATATTCAGCGATAATTTTATTAATTGCTAAACTATTCACACAAATGATGTCCCAACTACCATTTTTTTATGTGTTATTAAACAATAAACAACACAATGACTCGTAATTTATGTCAAACCGTTTCTTTAGCAATCTATCAATGAGCTTAGCCTATTCAATTTGATTCATTCTATAATGTGATAAGTAGGCAAAAATCAAAGCCATGCATTTTTAAAATTAAAAAAAAACACTTTATTAATATCCTCTAGCACAATCAAATTGCAAAGCACACATAAACCAACTCCCATTTCTTTCTCTTTCGAAAAAGCATGTTTATTCAAAAGATATTTTTCAGTCCATTAGAAACGGAAAAAATTTGCGTACATAAGACGTACGCAGTGCTGCGTACGTCTATAACCTACAAACAGGTTATAGGGAGGATTTTAGAAGGTTATAATCGCGTTATACCCCCTGTAACCTCCCTGTAACCTACCTGTACCTTCTAGTAAATTCCGCGCTTCTGTTTTGATATACAGGTAGGTTACAGGGAGGTTACAGGGGGCATAACGCGGTTATAACCTCCTGAAATTCTCCCTATAACCTGTTTGCAGGTTACAGACGTCTTATGTACGCAAATTTTTTCCATTAGAAACACTATTATTTTATAGAAGTTGTAGAATTATTCTTAAGTTGTACAGGTTTCAAAGTTGTCCTTTATTACTCTTTAAACACACAAATATTAGGTCTCCTAAAGCGAGTCACATTTAAATCATACGACTATGATCTATCTGAAAGAACAAGTGCAGCATCTTTGAGTAAAGTAACTCTAAAATGGCACCAAAAATTTAATCAACTTATGTAGCAACTTGAATGAGAACTACTATTTATGTCATAGAAATGACTTTCTGATCCATCCAAACAATCTTATATGAATGTAGATGCGATTATAATTTTAAGTTCATATGATTAATAAGACAATTAGCCACAATATTCGTACAACTCCCACTATTTGTAATGAACTTTTCAAAATTTTTTATCATGCTTGAATAAGTTTAGAAATAGTTATTTTCTGATCATATTTAGCATTCAGTTTAACAATGTTGCATCACATAACTTTAATGGAATTCTCCGTCAAAGCATTCTTAGTAACAAATATGTTCATTAAATCTTTATAAATTCTCTATTTAGTAATATTTCTATCAACCCTAGATGAAATATTATCATGAATTTCTCCTGGTGCCTCTACATCCAAATATCCCAGTGCTTTCTTCTTCTTCTTCTTTTTCAGCATTCATAATTGAAGTTAGCGGTTAACCTTCCAAGAAAAAAAATTATTATAAGATGCATTTAAGATCACCTTTTTATAAATTTGTTCATTAAATGCAAGAAAATAAAAAGTTTGCAAATCAGGGTATCAATTTGTGTGTTTGTGCTTGTGTTTTTTTGGCAGCTCTCATAAATTTGTTAAGAATATGAATATGAGTGAAAATTACGATCATGTTACATATCAAAATTCTGAATCACAAGGAGATTATAGGCAATAGGTTAGTTGACCATTTTCAATTATCTATGCTCTTTCATGGTCGCACTTCGTAGCAAATTTCTCTTACTCCTATCAATACATATGTCATTTTGATCAATTCAAGTTCTTTACTTTTACTCATGGTTTTAACTTTTGAATAATTATATACAGACTTATTTCTTGATAGAAGTCTTGAAATATACGTAGAACTTCAAACCAACATTTAAATAAGTTGACCTATGTAACCTAGAATAATTATCAAAGAATGTTACAAATTTACAGAATCCCAAGTAGGTAAAAATTAACTAAGGTCCCAAATGTTGAATTTGATGAGATCAAATGTATAATGTAGACAACTAGTGGGGGATAATGAGAAGGCCATATGATGGTGTTTACCCAATTCACGAGTGGAAAGTTCAAACTAAACTAGCGAGAAGGAGAAAGTAAGAAAATGTATAAGTCTGCAAGGAGAAGATGGTCTGACAATATTAATGATGAGTAACAATGGAGAAGAGGGTGGCTGGGAGGAATATTTGAAATTAAAAAGTATCAACACCTCTACAAATTGTTTTTTGCGAGCTGAAATCCTAAAAGGCACATAGGGAGATAAAAGATTACTGAATCGAGTTCTGGTAAAGAAAAAGGAGTTTGATAGGAAAATGTGAGATATAATGAACCTTGAAAAGAAAGAGAATTATGGGTATGTGAAATATCCTTTTCCAGAACTAAGTGCAGGGAACTATAAACATTAATAAAAGTGACAAAAAAGGCATGTGAAAGGAGGAAATTATGCAATAATTACTTGTCATTTGAGAAAATTTAACAAAGTTTATAATCTAAGACAAACCAAAATAAGCACCAACAATGGCACCTGATAAAGAGACAACACGAGAGACTAAGATGCATGGTCTTGATTGTTGAAATAGTCTATCGCTGTTTTTCTAAGAAATAGTAGTTTAGCCTGAAGGGGATACCAAATATAAGCAAACTTGGTCCAAATTTGAAAGCATATTGAGCAGCAGTGGGATAATCTAATTACTCCTAGAGACATTCAAGAGTAGGAGAGTAAACTAGCCTAACTTGAGTAAGCTCTACATTTGTTCTTGCTCGACTTGTTTGATTTTTTTTTTTTTTTTCTTGAAACCATCTCATATTCAAAATAGCTCATTTAATACGATATTTGTGTTCGGTTTGATTCGAATTCATTTGTTCATATTCTAGCTCGTGTTCAGCTCAAATTTAAGTCGAATGATTTTAAAAACAATAGATATTAATAAATTTTTTCGACACAACATAAAAGGTTAAATAAATATTATTAATGATATTATTTCAAGCAAAAATAAGCCGAACAGGATTGAGCAAATTTTTGTTTGTGTTAAGCTCGTTTATAAACCAAACTCAAAAAAGCTACTTGTGTTCAACTCGCTTGTGTAACGAACCAACTGAACATGAGCTACTTGGCAAGTTAAAAAGGTTATACTAAATATAAATCTAATCTTGTCAAATCATACATTGCACCATGTTAAAATTTGTTCATGAATCTAAACCAATACTTTAAAAATCAAAATTGAGTATAAAATTTAATCAAAACTTGAACTATTAATAGAATTTGAATATGGCCCTGAAAAAAAACTTAAATTTAAACTGGAGGTCAAAATTCAAATTTAAAATCGAATTTGAGCTTGTCATATATTCTGAACTTAAACCTACACAAGAAATTTAATTTGAAACGACAAATTAACCTATTATCCTATATAAAGTCATATTGCAATTAAAAAATAAATCTAGTCTTTATTGTGAATCTAACCTTCTAATTGAAATTGAATCTACTTTGAATATAACCTAAATAATACTCAAAATCAAATCTATCTTTGAAGATTAAAGTGAACAAAACATGCCGACTATATTTGATGAATTGACCAAACAAACAAATTTACAAATCCAGCTAAAATTATTTTTAAGTTTGGTTCTAGGTTTGTTGATTCCAAACCCATTCATGGATAAAATTAGATTCTGCTAATATTTTAGAGAATCTGTTAACAATGATTGCCTTCAAGAAAAAAATATGAAATTCATATTTCCATCAATTTAGTTCAATCAAGAAGTATATAGTTCATCACAACTAATTTTTAAACTATTTGGGTTATTTTTCAAGGTGATATCCATCCATATAAATGTAATGAATTTGTTTAGATTATTTTCTTTTAATTTTCTTATCATCGCATCATGTACGAATAGGATAAAAATCCATGTTTGCACTTTAGTATTTTGATTAATTACATCATGTCATTTGCATGTTTGCATGTTTTTTGATAAGCATGACAATCATTTAAAGAAATTAATTATTAAATATGGCAATCATAAGTCTAATGTTGATGTGACTAGGAAAAAAAAGAAATTTAAACCATGTGATAAGGTAATGATACGTTTAAATCATGAATGGTTTCCAACAACGACCTTTAAAAAA